TTTGGTTAGGCAGTAAAAGTTATTATTTTTATTGTATTTTGACTTTGGGCAGCACATCTTTTTAGTAATCTCTTGTGATATAATGGAAAGTACATACAAAGCGCTTTTGCTGTGTGCTAAGCTGTGAAGTCTGATGGCTATCTCCAGGGAAAAGTGCTGGTGCGATTGAGTTATGAGCTAAACTGGCTACTTTTTTCATGGAGTATTGTTTTTGCTTGAAAGAATGATTGATAGGTTGTGGGTTTTTCAGACCATTTGGATATTTGGCAGATTTTTTTTTTTAATGAGCAAAGGGAATCTGTTACTTTAAGGTAAACAACTGGCACTGTTTGTTATAAATGATAAAGTGAGAGCTTTCAAGAAAAAAATTAGAATTGTGGAAAACTTGTGTTCACTCCCCTGAGTGTGACAGCTTCTCCATAATTAAAGATTTTTTCTGATGAGATTGGTGGTGATAATAGTGTCATTTTTTAACATCCTGTAAATAACGACATTTGGAAAATCTGCATAACTCAGTGAACCAGTATTTCCAGATGACCAATGCATGAAGTTTTAAAATCATGTGTGAGTAGAAGATACATTCAAAGTGTAAGGTAGACCAATGGATTTTGACGTGACAGAATATGAAAAGTTCACTGATAGGTGTGTGATTTCACTTTACAAGAAACTACATTTGTCAAGTGTTGGTGTAATATCAAAGAAGAAGGTCGAGGCTGGGCCTGGTGGCTCACGCTGGTAATCCCAGCACTTTGGGAGGCCAAGGCAGGCGAATCACAAGGTCAGTAGTTCGAGACCAGCCTGGCCAAAATGGTGAAACCCCGTCTCTACTAGAAATACAAAAATTAGCTAGGTGTGGTGACAGGCATCTGTAGTCCCATCTGTTTGGGAGGCTCAGGCAGGAAAATCTCTTGAACCTGGGAGGGGGAGGTTGAAGTAAGCCAAGATCAAGCCACTGCACTCCAGCCTGGGTGACAGAGTGAGACTCCGTCTCCAAAAAAAAAAACAAGATCCACATTATCTGAAAAATCTATTTAATCTTTTCAACTATATATTCATATGAGGACAGATTTTTTTGTCATATACTTCAGCCAAAACAAATTAAATTATCAAAACACATTCAATGCAGAAGCAGATGTGGCATCTTACTTATGGGGTTATTATTGTTATTTTTAAATACATAGATGTTTTTATATGTATGTATTTAAATTTCTAACATGTAAATATTCATGTATATAACCTACATAAAAGTTCTTTGAGGTCCTCAGAAATTTTTAAGATTATCAAGATTTTGAGACAAAAATGTTTGAGGGGCACATGGAAGAAGTAAGAGCAGCTTTGGTGGCATGAGTTCTTATGGCTGCCTCCAAGAGTCTCCCTGATTTCCAGAGGGCAAGGGCAGAGCTAGCTGTGGGGAGCAACCCAGGTCAGCAGTGCGAGCATCCTCTCCATGAAATAGAAGGCAGGTAGTAGAGCGTAGGCTCAGAGCACAGGCTTTAGAGTCAGCTGGGTTTGCTCGGAGGCTCTCTCAGTGGCTGCTACCTAACCGCTGTAACTCTGAGGCCCCTCAAATAGGAACTTGGAATAATAATACCTACTTCTTGGGAGTAGTTGTGAGTTTACAGAAAAAATAATATAAAGTTTTAAACCCAGAACCCGGCATGTAGTTATTGCTTAATGATAGCTGCTCTGATGACGATAAGAATTATTCTTTTTGACTCTTGGGTGACTTTTGAGGCTGAATATTTTTGTCATCCCCAGCAAGGCTGAATTCACGTATTTTTATGGTATGTAACTTTCTTCCCCTTTTTTTGTAACAGTGCCAGCAGATGTAGCGTCACCTGAAAGTGGCAGTAAGTGTAGATGCATTAAATTGCTTTAGCTCTGGAGATGGGTTCGAGTGTTTGCTCTGTCTCCATGGTACAGGACTTAGGGTAGTTGCTGGAAATTAGTTGGTCTAGACCTAAGGATGCTTTGGGCCGGGTTTCATGGCTTGGGCTCTAATATTTGACTGTTACATCTTACACCCTTCCTTGTGGAACACTTTGCCAAGGTACTGATTTTGCAAGATAAGATCTTCAGACTCACAAGTACCTTGCAGCTTCAGTAAACTTTATGTGATCCTTTCTGCTGATGCCGAGTGAAGATGCATGAAATGCTCTGCTCTAAAATTGGAGTTGAAAGCATCTTACAGTGCTTGTAAGACAGCTGGCTATTTAGATCTCTGATTTTTAGTCTTTTAGGAACTTCTGAAGATTTATGTAGGAGACAGTATGGAGCAGTATTTTTCTAGTAGTGGTTTTTATATGTATTCCTCTATTTGGAACCACCAGTGTTTATTTCTTCTCCATAGGTTGCAACAGGTTTGAAGTGACACTAGAGAAATCCAATAAGAACTTCTCCAAAAAGATTCAGCAGGTAAGCAGTGACGGCAGTCCTTGTAAGAATATTTGACTTATATGAGATCCTGTCAAACCAGAATTTTGGTAATGTTATTTATTAACTATTTGAATCCTCTTCTCTTTGACCTTCCATTTATTAACTCTTTGAATCTTCTTCTCTTTGACCTGCCCATGTATCAAGTTCCTGAGATCCTCTCTCACAAGAAGAAATTATAGTCACAGAAATTATAATGCACAGAAAAATAAGTCAGATCCCCGTAACTGGATAGGCTCTGTTGTCCCTTTTTAATACTGTTATTGAATGAACAGTTGCTAAACCTTGTCAGAAATGTTTAATTGGGTCTAATGATTTGATATTTTCCAGATCCATGTGGTTTCCCAGTTTAAGATTCTGGTCAGCTTGTTAGGTAAGAAAAGGAGTTGGATTTGTATTCATGCATCTAAAAAGAAAAGATCTGACCTAGTTAACGCTTTCATGGTTAATTTGATAGTGGTTACTTAACAACGAACTGACATGTTCCAAACCTGGTATAACAGGGTACATGGATAATAAAGGCAGCAGCATCCCCCATAAACTCAAACTCTGCTCTCCAAGGGGTCTCACTTTATTCATTCATTCATTAATTGATCAAATACTTATTGAGCCTATTCTATGCAAAGCCTGGACTAGACATTGGGGATACCAAATTCAATGAGACATGGTTGCTATCTTTGAGAGACTTACATTCTGATTATGAAGACTAAATGACAGAAAGTCTTCAGGATACAAGGTGGTAAGTTGCAGTGAAAATTTATAAAAAGCGTTGTGGAATCTTGGTAATGGGAGGGTCTATATTGTCTAGTAGATAACTAGAATTTCAGTAGGAAGAGAGGTCAGCAGCATATCACAAAACACGGGAATAACTAGAACAAAGGCCCTAAGATGTGGCAGTTTGTGGCAAATAGTTTATTGTGGCCACACTAAGGACGTGCGGTGGAGAGTGGCAGAATATCAGCTAAGAGAGAACAGGTCCACACTGTTGAGGACCTTATGTGAAAAACTGTGGTTTCATGAAAGGCAGCCAGTGAGGACTTTCCTTGACAGGCAGGGGACTAGAAGCTGACCTCACACTCTGTGCTTTTGAGCCTGGGGCCCAAAGAGTAAAATCATTTTAAATGTCGTTCCTAGGACCACAGATAAATATCTGAGGTAACCTAATCCTCGTGACTAAATAAACTAGATATGAAGCCTGGGTAAAATGATTATTTTGATTGCTTTGCTAGGAAAGAAATCCTTGCCATGGGTTACTACGAAATCCACAGGGGATTTCCCTTTTCTAAGCGTAGCCTCCTAATGCAAATAGCTTTGAAAGCCATTTCTTGGGCCGGGCGCAGTGGCTCAAGCCTGTTATCCCAGCACTTTGAGAGGCTGAGGCGGGTGGATCACGAGGTCAAGAGATCGAGACTATCCTGGTCAACATGGTGAAACCCCGTCTCTACTAAGAATACAAAACATTAGCTGGGCATGGTGGCACGTGCCTGTAATCTCAGCTACTCAGGAGGTTGAGGCAGGAGAATTGCCTGAACCCAGGAGGTGGAGGTTGTGGTGAGCCGAGATTGCGCCATTGCACTCCAGCCTGGGTAACAAGAGTGAAACTCCG